CAGCTCATTATTATTTTTACTCCTAAAATATCACTATTATTGTGATCAATAAAAAAATATATCACAACTATGATAATATGTATAATTAACTATGTTTTAGTTGAATTTATGAACTGTTACAATTGACTCCGTAAGTGGGGACAATTGTAACAAGTGCACGACTGTCAAAAATTGTTAATAACTAATATAATAACAGTTAAAATAAGTTTTTTTTTCTAGTAGAGGATAGTCTACTTTACTCGTCTGTCAATTAATACTAATAATATATTGGATTTTTGTTAGTTAAAAATAGTTAAGTAAAAAATGTTACAATTGATCCCACTCTCCCCTACATTATTTTGTTCAATTTAACCTAAAATCGCAATGCATTTTTCCCCCTTTATTTCAGAAATTTAAATGCTTAGTGATGATAAAGTAAATCGAGAGTATAATGAAAAAAACAACTATAGTTGAATTTTAATTCGTGTGAATTTTTTAGATTTAAAACAATGGTTTACCCTTTGAAGTTAATTCTTTTAAAAAATAGTATAAATAAAATGTTAACGTTGTCATTGGATGCATTAAGATACAACTTTACAAAAAGATGGAACAACTTTAGAAAAAGGGGAAAATAATTTATTTCTGCGTTTCATGCAACAATTTACTCTTACGTCTACAGAAATAATGTACTGCTACGTGTATAGCAGCAATTTACTCTTGCGTCCATAGCAACAATTTACTTTTGCGTTTATAGCTAATTTTTCACAATATTCAAAATTATATAATTCAAGTGAAATTTATTTTTAACACCTAATCACTTTCTCCAGCAGTTTACTAAAGATAAAAGGAAAAAAAAGGGCTTTTGAAGAAAAAAAAGAAATTTTGCAATGTTTAAAACATTTTTAGTGTCATTGAAATTCATTTTCCATACCTTATAAACTATTGCTCTTTAAAAATTAGTTCGACGTTAAGCAGTACTAACTGTGCGTTGAACCAATATGGTTCAAATTTTACTGTAACCTAAATTACAGTGTTGAAATAAATCCATAGCCTCAAAAATACGATAACGAGGTTCAACTTAAGTTACAACAAATTTGAATCACATTTATATACCCCAAAACTTATTCGCCTTTTTTTTTAACAAATTATTTTCTAAAGTTTATTTATTTTATTTTTTTTAAACATTTTTTAGCTCATTATATGTCTCGCTACATTCCTCCACTATGAAAATCTTAAGTCTACACTGAGTCTGGGAAAACTACCAGAATTTGTTAAAATTAACCGGCTCTATGGGAACATTAAAAAGTAAGATAATTTTTTCCGAAGCGCTTTGGTAATGACTTTAGGTAAAATTAGCAAAATGGTTTTATTACCATGCTGTTTGGTAGTAAATGTAGTAAAGTTTGGTCATTTTAACAGCACTCGTAAAATTTGAGATATCGTGAATATGTTCAATTTGATAACCTCTAATTTGCTTAGTAAACGCTTGTTAACTTTGTTTTTGGTCAGTTAGTAGTTTTCAGAAATTTTTAAACTATAGGATAACAATCTACCCATTTTTACTACTATAAAAATTCATATTTGTAGCTATGCAAACGTCTGTACAAGACTGTACTAAATCAGTCACTTAAATGTTCAAATCAGTCTGTCCTAACACCGTGAAATGGAAGCATGAAGGTAGCAGGTTAGAATCCCACTTCTACCCTAAATTTATTTATTTACTGTTACACATTTATTGCTCATTGTTTCAGGGCTTGTGTGTTCTTTACAAAGTACTAGTCAAATTTGAGAACAAATAGCAAAAGATACAGAAGGGTATCACAACGAAATATACATTTAAAGGGCTGGATTCGTACCCACTCCCTCCGCCTTACTATTGTTGCTTCATAGTAATGTCCTTCTCTGACTTGACAATAAATCTATATAGCCCAAATCTATATGTACTTTATAGTGAGCCTGCACATGTAAGGTTCACAATATATAAATAAAAAAAGACTGGAATGTCCTTTTAGATATTGTTTTTAACGGGCTTTCTTGGCCGAACAACATCACCTTTCCACCAAAAGCTATCAAAAAGTGGCGAAGTGGGCTTGAATACTACCGTAACCCTGGACATGTAACAATAAATAAACATATGCAGGATAAGTTCAATATGCAGGATAAGTACTCAATATGCAGGACGAGTACAATCAATAATTAAAAATACTTATGCAGGATGAATGCAAAGAATAGAAGACCTCTTTTTAAATTGAAAACCAGATTGTACCGTAATAACAAAGAACAGCTCAAAGATATTAAACCATTACGCTTCAAAACACATGAAAGGACAATACCCCAATAAAGTATGGCTATTTTACTTATAATAAATTCTAGGGACCATCTTTGTCGTGCTATATCGTTGTTCGCTAACCACTCTAAAGCATAGATAGAGTGGGATCGAATCCCGCTATAACACTGGATGCATATTATTGCTTATTTCGCAAACTTGTGCTATCTGTTTCTGAAATTGAAAAGCGTTTCTTAACCATTATTTATATTTATAATGGAACCTACATATGCAAGTGAATAAATAAATAAATCCAATGATGCATACAACAGACAAAATTTTCGGATGTAAAGTATTCTTAAAATACTTTAATTAAACATTTGGAGTCATCATTCATGTTTCCTTCCCCACTTGTTATATATATTAGGAAAAGAAATAATTAATATTCTTTAAACAAACCGCCTTTTAAAATGAACCATAGAAGGGACTATTACTATTTAGTATTACTATTATACTAGTATTACTATTTAGTATTACTGTTACTATTTAGTAAATAGCATAGACTTCAAAAGGTCAAAATTACCAAATAAATGATTAAATTAATGATAGTCCTGAACAACATTTTGGTAATTTCATCGGGATACTTTAGAGAATAAGCTCCCAGCGTGGACACTATCAACCCCCCCCCCTCTAATGGAGACTTCAGGGAAGAGCAGGCAAGATTATTAGTATTTGAGGGGTATTAGAAATTTCTTAAAAGTCGTTTACAAACAAAGGATGACATATAACTTTAATATTTGATTCTGAAATATGCTTCTCTCGCTATAAGCTGTACTAAAATATAGAGACGACCCGATGGCAATCATGTGAACATTTCATATTTAATTTTTTTAAGCGTAGGAAAAATAATATTTAATTAAGTATTTAATTTAAACTGAAAAGTTATATGTTGAATTAATTTTTATACAAATACTTAAAAATTTTACGCATGAGTTATTTTATCAAAATTGGCATAAAATAATATAAATGCCAGTAATATATAATTCCAATATGAATGCTACGGTCATTATGCAATTTTTTAATGGCTTAAATAGTGTCTTATAGAAGTGTGTATCATGACCAAAATATAAAGTGACTTAAAAAGGGGACAAAAATATTAATAACTTATTTCTAAATATTGGCAATTTTTTTGCAAGGAGACGTTGGCCGGGATAGCCCGGTGGATAGGGCGTTAGGCCCATGTCCGAGAGGTCATGAGACCCATCCTCCCTATCGTAGACAAAATGGTGACTGGTGCACGCTAAATCTGTCGGGGTTACAAAGTCCCCCAAGTTCCCCTAACAAATCAATACCTTTGAGGATACTAGACCGGAGATTGACCATGCTCTGGTTCATGTCAAAATTACGATCTGCGGTTGGATGGATAGTATGTGAATGTATCCTCTCTGTAAAACGGGATGAGGCGGATGTGTGTTGTCTCCAGATCATCTTCAAGGATGTTTCCCAGACCGTCGCCTATAGCCCATCGTGCAGCTCAAGCGCGACTTAAATAAAAGTACTAAGTACCATGTAAGGAGACGTTGAATACTTTTTGACTTGCAAAGTGGACAGTGATCTAAGATTGGACGGGAACCTATGCTTTACAGCAGTGTTTCCCAACCTTTTTATCATCGCGGAACTGTCAACGTTTGATAATTTTACCACATTGATTGTTTAGATTTTATATTATTTTGATTTATTAATTTTAATTTAATTGTATTTAAACATGCCTTCAAAATAAAATACAGTTACACCAAAAAATAAATATAAAGTGATTTAACATTTTAACTTACTAGAACGTTAAATCAATGAGAACCCTGAGCTTGTTTCCTTGCAATGAGACGGTTCCATTTGGGGTAATCGGAGACAATGACACATTACAAAAATTAAAAAATTTATGTCACTACCTTCGGGGACCCTTTTTTTAAATAAATTAAATTTTATTGGAACACAGATATTTTTAATTTGAGGTATAAACTTGGGAATTTAAATTCATTTTTAATGAAATGGGCGGCCCGGTATTGATCCACGGACCGGGGGTTGGGGAACACTGCTTTAGAGCATGGCATAAAAATCATTTATCGGGTCAAATTTACTTTTCAGTTTTGTATTTTTACTAAATCAGAGGTAATAAGAACTATAATTTTGAAAATCAGAATTTCCGGTAAACCATTACTAAAACGAAAGGAAAGATATAAATACCGTATGTTTCGGTTTCATTTACCAGAATTATGTTTTTTATCATACAAGTAAGGGAATTTTGAGGGAATTTTCGAACATTCGACCGTAACAGTCTTCCAATAAGAAGTTTTGCTTCATGCAAATCTCATATCTATCTTTCGCCTGCAACACTTTTCTAATATAAAGATTGTTTTAAATCTAATATCAATGTATATTATTTACCTTGACACCCTTTTAACCTGAAGTTGAAAGTCTTTATTGATTTCATCGGAAAATAAATATGTGAGCCAATAAATTTTTATCTCAAACCCATGATATATTTTTTATCAAATTCTTTTGGTTTAGCAAAGCCATTTATATCCTTTCAGAAGTGTAAACTGATGAGATAATAAAACTCATTAAAAATGATATGTCACGACAAATTGTGCCATGATGTAATGACGAATCTTTATCAGCAAGTGTCACAATGAATTATTATTTTACAATTCCCAGTAAAAAAAAGAAAAGGGACTAATATCTGTGACGAAATTGTCCATGTGATAATCAAGCCTTTTGTTTATTCCCTGTAATTGAAAATCATTCTAATGTTTCTCTTATCTTACCCCACGAGATGTAAAAAAGAATAAACTCAAAACAAGAAGAGAAACCATTTCTTCCAAAGAGTGCTGCGTGATCAGGATATTAATTGTGTCACACTAAAAACTGGATTTCAAAAGGGAGGAGGGGAGAAAATTTTAAGGAGGAACGTTTATTATAAAAAGCTTGAAACATGGAAAATTGCGAATCTTATGGTAGTATACAGGTACATATAAGTTTTTATTTGAACGATGTCAAAAAATAAATTTTGTTAAAATATTTGTTCTTTTTTAAAAATGTATGGGAGTCATCCAATTTTTCAATATTTACCTTTCATTGGATATTCTGGATATGAAATAATTTCTCAGGTAAGTTTATGGACTCTCAGAAATAATTTTATAATCCTCAAAACGTGATTTATTAAAATAAAACTATTGATTAGATTATAGTTCCGGGTAAGTTAAAATTTGTTTGTTTCTTAAAATGGGACAGTAATTATACAAAAAAATTTATGTGGGTTATATTTAAAAATAAAAAAAATTCCAGAATTTTCCCGCTCTCATTTTTAAAAAGAAATCTATTTATTTTTACTTATCACGTGAAAATTATATAATATAAATGCTTGCTTCATTTTTATATGTATAATATCAAATTATTTTTATTAAATTTTATTTTTTAAAATACTGATATAAATGAAAGAAATTAGAATGAAGCAAATCAAAGTAAAAATGTAGGTACTTCTGGTAGAGAGAAAAGAGCACTTTTGAAAAATGCTTAAAATACAATCAANGCTTCATTTTTATATGTATAATATCAAATTATTTTTATTAAATTTTATTTTTTAAAATACTGATATAAATGAAAGAAATTAGAATGAAGCAAATCAAAGTAAAAATGTAGGTACTTCTGGTAGAGAGAAAGGAGCACTTTTGAAAAATGTTTAAAATAATTAATATTTTTGTGTGTTTCAAATTTATTTAATGTAAATTAAACAGTTAAAAAAAACACTTATACTCAGAAAATCAAACATGGCATTTTCTGAATAAATAATAAAAATTACAAAGCTTTTAGATATTTAGTAAGTATTTTTCGATTTAAAGTGCTTCATTAAAACATCTCGTCTTCTTTCCCATTTGTTTACATTAAGGTAGTTTTCATAAACCTTCAAATTAAACCTCATTTACAATTTTTTTTTCCGTAAAAATTTAACAAAAATAAATATTATTGATTTTATTTAAAACCGTCCCTGGAGTAGAACTTATTTTAACTTCTTTTTTGCTAATAACAAGTTCATCGTGCAAAAAAAATAAAATAAATAAATAAAAAAGGAGAGACAGAATAATTGAAACTCATTGCGGGCCCCTTCCTCACACCACGAAAAGCTTATTTTCCTTTTTTTATAATAGCTTTATTAAAGGAAAATTAATAGAAAAATGGTACTGAATTTGCTTAAGAATTTTTGAACCACCATGTTATTTTTGACGCTATTGATACGTAATTCATTTTGGTAATAATTACTAACTGAAATTAAAAAAATTAGTTATACTAAGAGCAATATTAATTGAGAAATTGTGCGTTTAAGATTAGCGTGAAAAGGAGCTAAACTATGATTGACGCCCATGATGCTCCATTTATTTTGTTAATAAGAACTAACTGAAATTAAAAAAATGAGCTCGATTCTCTAACTACTATAAAGTGAAATTAATAAAGAAATAGCACTAATTCGTTGTGGAGAAATTTATAGAATCTAATGAATTACTATATTAGTTGTGTTAATATATATGTCCTTCAGTTTTGTGCAGGATTTCGTAGTGTTATTCAGTACTGATGGTGTTGTTATCGTGACGTCACTGAGCCTAGTATTTTCATTAAGGTTATTTTTTAACAACATTAGTGTTAGATCTCTTAGTAACCATTTAAATTAGTTACGTTAATTTATAATTAACATTCGTTTTCTTGGTTTCAACATGTTTGGAAACACGTTTGGCGATTGTTACCATAGTGGACGAGGCATGTTTTGTAAGCAGTCTCCTGATGTTTCTATAATAACTTTCAGAAACTCACTATTNTTGTAATCATGATTACAGCTGTAATCAAAATTTTTGAAAATTGTAATCATGATTACAAGTAATTGATTACTGTAATCAAAAAATGTAATCGAATACATTTTTGGCCAACTCTGGTATGGACGAGGCATGTTTTGTAAGCAGTCTCCTGATGTTTCTATAATGACTTTCAAAAACTCACTATTGTACCATATAAGATTGGGTCTTTAAATTCAACTAAAATTTCACATTAAATTACAAATAAAAATGAATGTCGTGTTCCTACGCTATTTACATATAATACAAAAAGTACCCTGGAAAAGCCAGTTTAAATCCCTGAATATATATTTATTTATATTCAGGGTTTATATGAATATATATTTATTTATAAACGGGTTTGTGGTTGCATGACGTGGGCGACGCTGCTCCACCGCCGTGGCTTCGCCACGGGTACCCACTGGGAAACGAGAAGAGAGTAGCAGTTCCGGCACTCCTGGCCAATGGGACACTACATCCCAAGTGCCCGCCTAAAAATAATTATCTACTTATATATAATATTATATGTTATATAATTATTGAATGTTATGTAAGAGGTTTTGTTTATGGACATTTTTAAGTTCACAATTATTTTTGCAAATATTTCTCTTGAAACACAGTTTCTGCAATTATTTTTGTTGCTAAGCTTCTACAATTATTTCTGTGGTATGCATTCAATGTAAATATTTTAAGGAGGAGTTGACATAATTATTTTTTTCTCCCTTTTGTTGCATTCAATTTTAGTGATAAAATAGAACAAAAGAATTATATTCTTATAGATGATCTGACTAATTAAGATTTAATATTATTTCCCGTCTTAATACAGAGCAATCACTTAGCAATCTTTAGGGGTTGGCGATCCTCAGAGAGCAGGGGAAGAGCTCCCTAATAATCATGATTTTAACACAGAAAATAAAGCGTTCTCTCATAACGTCACTGACAAGCTTTCAATTAACGGTATTTGGCAGTATAAAAAAGACTCAGTTGTGAATTTGAACATTCTGTGTGAAAAAATGGACTCGACCTGTAAAAATAATGTAAAAAGCAGCAGTTGTACTTTAATGACGTAAGTTAACGGAACTTTACTTTTTAGATTTAGAAACTGGTCTATACTTTAAATTACATTATTTTGTTGACAGTATGTTCGCTGCCTTTGGTAGGTATAAACTTTTAAGTTGTTTTAATAACCCTTTTTAATTCCATCTCTTTTTAATATCATATCAATTGTTTATAACTTTGCATTGAATTCTTGCTGTAAAATTATAAGTCGAATACCTAATTAATGGACATGTTATTTTATAATTAATTTTTGAATCAGTCAAAATGTATTATTTACCACGTTCTTCTGAGGTGATCATTTGGAGAAATTGTGCATCGTAGACTAGTTAATTTTACGACTAATGCCATGTTATTTTAGTCTCTATTTTAGGCATTTTTCTTTCTATATTATACTGACGTAAATTTAACTCTATAAAAAAAAATTACAATTTTTGCATTCATCACTTTGTGCATGAACCTGAAAGTTAAGTTCTAAATTATTCAACGAATCTCTTTAATCGTAATTCATAATAGTATATTAATGTAATTTGCACCAAAGAATAATAATTGCAAAACGGTAAATAAGATTAGATACCGATTTAAATAACTTTATTTTAAAATGTAATGTCGAATTAGGGGTGAAATCATAGAGTAGCCCACTTCTTGGCAACTTTTTAAAATCTCGCCAAGTTGGCGATTATTAATGGGATCAACGTTGTTTTTAGATAATTAAAGAAAAAAAAACAATTTAAATTATTTTCAATTGGTACCGCGCAAAAAAATATTAAAAAATGAAATAATAACGGTAATAAATGAAATAACGGTTAAAAAATGAGATAATAACGATGATTCTAACAGCAAAAGATCAGAAGCATAAATGGACAAAAAATCAAACCTTTGACCTCTTTTCTAACGAAATCCAACTTTTGCGTAGGTATACATATCGAATAACCAATCAGGTTTAATAATTTTGGTGGTGTGATCGGAAGTTCAAAATAATCTCCAATAAATATTTTCCGGAAACATAGTTTAGCGAGATTTCAATAACTTACTTGGCGAGATTCTTTAAGAAAATTGCCACTGAGTGGGCTATTCTAGGATCCACCTGAATTAGATTATAATAATAATAATTAAAAAAAAACAATTCTCTTAAACTCTTAATTTAGAAAACAAACAAAATCAAAAACGTAAATATCAATTTTATGCTGATGACAACCAAACCAATATAAAAATGAATAGGGAAAAACTGGATCCTACCATGTGATTTTCCGGCTAATAGAAATGCTACTACAACAATGGAAAACTGCGACTCTATCATTAGAGTTTTAAACATAGTTCTATAACATGTTTAAATAACATGTTTAAATTCAGCGTCTGTGAGAAAGATTAATAGATTGAAGGATTGAATTAGTATAGAAATCAATGAAACATAAGCGATTATATGGCATCAAACTGAACCATATTGCATAAGATGCGGAAAACAAACGCTAGTCCTAAAATCTAGAACAAGGGAAATAAAAGATAAATCATTGAATCATCATAAACCTTTCTTAGAGGCATCCATGAAAGGAAAACTTTCCTTCAACTGCAATTTAAAATTTACAAGATTATTAATATGAAAAAAAAACAAGAATATCTACAACTGAAATTAATAAATGATTAATTTTAAAATGGTCCACTGAAATGTAATATTTTTAATTCCAAGTTAAATCAAATTGCACTTTAAAAAGATTTAAAATGTTGAGTTAAAAAATAAAAAATAAAATGCTATTAAAATAGGGTGATACATTAACGAGAAAAGCGACCGAGGTCGAAAACGTGAAAAACTCATTTAATTGCCCGTAGAAACTGACAGAAGGTGGACAGATGGAATATAAAAAGTGCTTTTGTTGCAATCAAACTACATTTTGATACTTTTAATTTTGTCTTTTTCAACGTGACTCTTCAGTTTTGATAACATTTTTAATTTTCATTCGCTTAAAAATTTATATTTGATAACTATAAGCACACGTGTTTCAACTTTACTCTAATTTTCTAAAAATAGATTTCTAAAAATAGATAATGATGATCACGAACACTCTATTTGTTTAAAAATTTTCCTGTCGTA